AATGACGGCGCGACACCATTTAGTAAACTTGCTCGCGAGAATCCTAAACGTTAATAATATGACTGGAAGGAAGAAATTAAGTGGTTCTCAGTTTTGGATCCAGGCGCGGTCCCGCGCTATAAGCGAAACCGCGCTATCCAGACGCGCGTTCAAGCGAGGGTCCGCTGTACTTGTAATTTTATTTATAATAAAACTTGTCAATGTTCAATTATTTTAATGATATTTAGATTCATTTTAGGTCAAACGAATTTGTAAAAAAACTAAAACAAGTTTATATGGGGCCGGGGGCGGCAATTATTTCAGGGCCTAGGGGCGGCAAAATCATTCATCCGCCACTGCCCATGTCACCCCAGTTAGAGACACTGGGGGGTGGGGGACAAACTCAGGGCCCTGGTACAAGTGTCCCTCTTCCCCTCCCCCCCCATTAGCCCTACCACCTGTCTTCCCCACACATAGGGTCTCCTAGCCTGCATTAAGCAGTCAGACAAAGGCCTGAAGATTACACTGCAGTGTTAAGCACTGAATGTAAATAGCTTCACACAAGAAGCCATGTCCAGAGCACAAGACATTTTATTGGTCCTACAAAACCCAGGATTAGTGCATATTCCTGAGTGCCATCATAGAATATCAGGGTCGGAAGGGACCTCAGGAGGTCATTTAGTCCAACCCCCTGCTCAAAGCCATCTACTGGCACCTAATCTATTAACTATTTACACACATCTACACCTCTGTTATAAAGCACTCCTGTAACATGTAGGGCTCATCTCGCTTATTTGGCTACATCAGTGTAGATATGACCAATAAGTGTTATATGGGAGAGGTGTAGAGTACTTAGACAGCAAGGAGTGAGAGTAATTAACCATTGGAACAATTTACCAAGGGTCATGGTGAAGTCTCCATCACTAAAAAGGCGTCTGATGAAGTGGGCATTCACCCACGAAAGCTTATGCTCCAATACTTCTGTTAGTCTTAAAGGTGACACAGGCCCCTCTGTTGCTTTTTACTGATTCAGACTAACACGGCTACCCCTCTGTTACTCTCCATCACTGGCCATTTTGAAATGAAGATTGGATACGTTTGGAAAGAGCCGCTTTAGGAATTATTTTGGGGAAGTTCTCTGGCCTGTGCTCTACAGGAGGTCAGACTAGATGATCACAATGGTCTCTTCCGACCTTGGAATCTATGAAAAAATGCTATGGGCACTGAGAAATGTTAGCCCAATTGCTGCCCTCAAATGGACACACACTCCAATGTGCCTCTGTTCTGACTGGTGATAGCCCTCTGCACAGATTACTCCAGTAGGGGCTGAAGTGGGGGTTAGATAGTGTTGTGCCAGCTGCCATATCTGGGGCGGGGGCAAATACCAATAGTGTCTGTTTTTTCCCCTCCTAATCCCTTGTCTGTCTGTGCTCACCTGTTGTCTCTTAGCTTGGATTTAGTTTGTAAACTCTTTGGGGAGGGCCCATCTTTTTGTTCTGTGTTTGTAGTACGACGGGTCCTGGTCTGTGAGTGGGGTGCCGAGTTGCTACTGCAGTACAAATCGTAATGCACAATACTGTGATGATCACAACATCTAAGCCTTAGGCCTCCGTCCAGAGGGCCCTACTCCGGCCCCTGCATAGCTACTTTCTGATCAGTTTTCAAGGAGTCAGGAAACCATCTTTTCTTTGCTGTGGGTGGCTTTGGTCACAGATGCCTGTGCCAGAATGTGACACCATATTAGGCAATATTAACTGAATAAAAGGTTCAATAAACAAATCTAAGATATATAATAGACGGAAAGAAAAATCCTTCGTTTGAACAGATTTGTTTTGGGACCATTTGTATGAGCAATGGTCTTTTTAAGTTCATGGGACAAGAAAGCTGTGTTCAGAAATGTATTAAATTGTGGTTACTTAAGATCTTTCCAAGCGTCAGTAGCGCTGTATGAGCTATTTACCACTGACTTACCAAATATGCCTTCATATCAGGACATCTGTATGCATAAGGGAGCAATATAGACTGAGGAATCTGCAATTTGAGGGACGTGAAATGTTAAGAACTCCTTTTTTTGGAAAGCTCAGCAGGGCCGCCCAGAGGATTCAGGGGACCTGGGGTCTTCAGCAGTGGGGGTCCTTCCGCTCTGGGTCTTCGGGGCACTTCGACGGCGGGTCCTTCACTCGCTCCGGGACCTGCCGCTAAAGACCCGGAGCGGAAGAAGCTCCAGGTCTTCGGCAGCGGGTCCTTCACTCGCTCCGTATGTGTTCAGCGGCACTGAAGGACCTGCCGCTGAAGACCCGCCGAAAACTCTCGTGGGGGCCCCTGAAAACTCTCGTAGGGGTCCCTGTGGGGCCTGGGACAAATTGCCCCACTTGCCTCCCCCCCCCCCCCCCGGGCCGGCCCTGAAGCTCAGAGTCAGTTTATAGGAGAGCATTTTAAAATAACAGGTGTGCTAGTGTCTCAGATGGGCTGCATGACCAGCATAGGCCATTTTGTTTCTGTCTGGTTGGAATCTTTTTACTGGAGTCTATGGTGCTCTTAAATTCAATTAAAAATGGGAGATTGGGTAACAGCGGTACTGGTTTGGAAGTAGTTTTGCAAGTAGCGTGAGGCAGACCCCTACCCACTTCTTAAATCTGCCATCTAGGGATGATATTATTTGAGACCAGACTCTCCATGCTCTTTCAATGCTTCAGTATCTATGTGTATGGCTGAGGGTCATGTGTGTCCATCCTTTATGTGGCACGGAAAGGAGGAGCATACGATCAGAGAAATAGGGCTGTGGAGTGGTTATTTAGTCAACCCCCCCCCCA